TATATATATAAAAGTAGGCAGTGTAAAAATTGTACAAAAAAGTTTAACAAACCAATGCATTATAAAATAATAAGTATAATTAATATAACAGTCTAGAAATAAATTCTTATTTAAATATATATATATATATAATATTTTATTATATAAGAATATATAATACCACACACACACACAAAAAAAAATGTTGTATACTTTTATCACGAAAATATGAATGAAATAAAATCTAAAGTATCACCCTTTATATACTCGGATTTACGTATACTACTACTCCTAGTTATATAAAAAAAAAAGTACACCTACACATATATAAAGATACCTCACCTACCTTGTCATTTATTTTTCTCGTCCGAGTATATTATAGTACGAGAGTAAAAAAAAGAATATATATATATACATTCTGGTGACAGAATGGCTCAAACCGGTTCTCTGATCACTTGAGCGCATCCATTATCCACCTTAGTGGTATCTCCGCAACGGCTACTGTACACAATCCGTGTTTCAAAGGGACGAAATTAATAACTGTTTGCAGAAACTCTCAAGCGTTACTGTCGCCGCCTTACACTTTATTAATTTGCCAGGCCTGTATCCCCCAGCCAGCMAGGTTCGCTTTCTCTAAACCCAAGAAGAGAAATTTCTACCACCCCCTACGACACGTTATTTCATAAATGAAATGAGAATCCGGTAAAACATAGTCTACATATTCTACATACAACCATCACCCAATATCCAACACCAACGCACTAGGACCAGAACCAGGACTAGAACTAGGGGACAAGCATCGTCATTCTCTTTTCATAGTAATTTCTCGTGCTTCGGTCATTTGAGTTGGTTTTAAAGATCTCTTCCTCTTATGCTGGTACTATCATCACGTTCCATAGCAATGACGAAGAGAATTTTCAAACGTTTCCTAGATAACGTCAGCCGGTATTAATTACCACCACCATCCCAACTCCCTTTTACCTCTTTTCGCTATTATTCTCTATTTTCACCTCGTTTCACGCTTAACACGTTAAATGAAAACGACTCCACTCGACTATACTCACCCTATATAGGTATACGTATATATTTATGTGAATATTTAATACGTTCACAACTGCTGATATTTATGTAAGATTAATATATATATATAACATATGACATTTATTTCAAAAATATTCAAAAGTATGAAGAATATTTAAATATACTGGGATGCTTTGACCACACGTTGCTGTAGCTTTGTTATAAAATATTAATTTAATACAATTCTAAATTATTTAATAAATTATAACAACACACAAAATAATACTACAATGAAAATGGAATACATAAAATAATAATATTCGAAAAACTATAAAAAGTAAGGTTAGTTTACGTCGTAAGTGAATATATAGAAATAATCAAATTTTAATACAAAGCCATCTATTGAAAAATTACAGAACCTAGAGACTTAGATCACCTAATAATAAAATAAATAAATAGACAATATTTTCTAACTGGACAGAGATACTGCCCTAACTCTGTATATAAAAAGAAATAAAAGTCACACATTGATAAAATACAAATGGAAGATTTCCCAAATCGGTCATGAAAAGAAAATTCCCATTCAATGGGAACATAACCTCTAAAATCGATTGGCTAAATGTTTTACATTATTGTATATGTTTCTAAATGTAAATATACGAAAAAACATATGCAATATATATTTGCGTAAACATTAAAAATCTAATTAGGTGCATAAATAGAAATTAAGTATTAAAGTAGCCTAATTTATTTGTTTTCAGACGTTAATATGGTGGCAGAACCAAAACCTCATCAAACCGGACGAAAACGTCAAAACGTTACCAAAACTGGAAACGATTGGTAAGTTAATTGAACGTAAATGTTTCATCAATTAGAAAAATGTATTTTTGAATCACAACGTTTGTGATAATTATTATTATATTCCAAAGGATAAAACGGGAAATGATTTTTTGTTTCTGTTTTTAACCCTTTTGCACTTGGGGCTATTCTTTCTCGCGAATATTCTGATGTTGTCTTATTAAATAGTATAATTTTGAAACTAAGTGTGGTATTATATAATGATGTTTGGTATATTTGAATTTGTGGATTTGGGGGAATATACATACTGTATTTCTTACAATTATATATACAGTGTGATAAAACTTTGAAACTGTCTCTGACATGCATCGATGGTTTATTTTTACACGTTGCACAATCAAATCTTATCAGATACTTTCAACCTGATGTTTTTGAAAATGTAGAAAACCTATTCTAAAATAGGTGCTGCACAAAACAGCGATAAACAAATTTATATTTCAAGACTGTAAATATAATTTCCCAAATTTACGATTAACTTCATTATCTTATCAAGTTTCAATACGTCATTGAACCATACTCTCATACCTTTCTTCCACAAATTTAATCATAAGTGGCTTAAAAAAAGAATATAATCCGTCAGAAACACACTTTGCACTTTGACGTAAAACCAGTTGATATATTTTTTCACAAATCTCCATAAATTTAACATAAAAACATATGATTCTAAAAAAATTACTGTAAAATGAGTTCATTCATTGTATCCACAAATAAACATTGATATAACTTCAGCCTTGTCACTGAATGTTTGATACAATCCCAGTGACAAAATGATTTAAGAATGATTGTTTGCTTGAATACAAAAACTAAACAAAGATAAATAAAATGATAGAAGATGATAGGAGAGACAATCGAGTTGACTCGCAACACACGTTGCCATCTTGTCAAGGATCACGTGGATCAGAGCTTTTGCGTTGAGTCACGAAATCGAGAACTTTGTCACAGCCAACACATAAATCCTCTTCTCACCTTTCACGAGAGGGAAAGGTGGCCTTATCCTAGAATAAACTAACTCTCTCCCTCTCTCTCTCTCTCTCTCTCTCTCTCTCTTACTTTTCGGTAACAAGAAGAGAAGATAGTCGCGAAACAGACGCGACTAAACTCTCGGAGGTACGTTCGCGTTTCTCTCATGCCGTTAAGCTCTACCCACTTTCGACCAAAAGCCTTGCCAACCAACCGAAGACGTGTTTTACTGGAAATACGTGACCGTGAATGTAGGTAGAACAAAACGACGTGTATACTCGACCAAAAAGCTACTATACTTCATATATATATATATAAGTGGAATACATAAAATAATAATACACGAAAATATATAAAAAGTAAGGTTAGTTATGTCATATGTTAATCTGAAAATAAAAGCGCCATCTATTGAAAACTTACAGTACTTAGAGACCTAGATATAACCTCTAAATATAATAAATCTGTAAATTAAATTTAAAAAACATAATCGCGATCAAAACTATCCTATATATTTAATTTGAAAAAAATCACTATAAATACAAAAAAAAAAACCACTGAATTTTATATATATAAAGAATATATATAATTGTAACATTAAGTAAACTGCAACAACACACTTTCTAGGTTATCTTTTAAATAAGATTAGATTTCTATCGTATTTTATAAATTGAATATTTTTTCTACGAATCGTATAAACGTGGAGGAGAGGCTGGGGATTGGGGTTGACTCGATAAATCAATTTTTTCCCTCAAATGATTATTATTTTCTTCCCCAACCATCCCTTTTACCTCTACAACCCCTCTACTTTCATATAACACGTACTATCATCGTGTTTAAGCAAATAATGTGCACTCGTGCGCATCGATGAACGCAAAGTCTTTTAATCCGATCCTGATTCATCGGTGTTGTTATTGATACACCGGATAACGATAAAGTTCACTTCGCGAAGCACATTGACGGCCATTTCTCTAAAACATAAATTTAATCCTTACGTGATAACGAGCATTACGAGAACTCGTCTATTCTGTTCATGTTTTTCTTTTTTTCTTGTTTTTTTTTTTTCAACATTAATACGAATAACTCATAAGAAGATAAACGAGAGAGATAGRGAGAGAGAGAGAGATAGAGAAGGATGCATTTAAAAGGGTTAAGAGACATTTTAGATAAATGTTGCAAACAGTTAACACTAGTCGGTGACTTCTAATCAAATGCTGTATGAATTTACTACACGACCTTAAAGTGGGGTCATTAAAATTGTGCAAGACCTAAGTCCTTGACGTTCTCGTGATATTTAACAACGAAATACACTCAACTGCTAGAGAATTATTCTAGGAATATGTAATATACTCTGATAGAAATGTTACTATTTTTCAAAAATATATTTTAGGGCTTTTGATCTTTTCGTTTCTGTTTACTTCTACGTTTCATTTTGTTTTTTGCAAAAACATTTTATTATTATTTTTTTTTCTGTTATTCCTTTGAATACTTTTAGATAAAATTAAATAATTAAATATAAATTTTTTCTTTGTTAATATAATTTACATGTGACGAAACACAACACAATAATCAATACTGAAACTAACATAATTTTATTGTATCATTAATATTAAAAAAACACGTATATACATGCTGACAACTTTTACCAAACGCATATATGCGTCCATAACAATCAAATAGATTAATAAAATTTACTATTTATTTTTTTCTTTTATTTCTAACTAATACACCCTGAATCGGAACTCATTTTTTCGTAACAATTAAGCTTTCTATCTCTCTTGTTTTTCATGAGCGCATAATATTGAAGAAAATAAGGTGGATCCTTGAACACCACCCCTTTCACCACCACCATAGATTGTATTCCAAACGGTTCATTAAAGTACCGGTCAGCTTTATACCGTCACGTCATTTAATACCGAACCATCCCGGGACACAGAATTGCCATCGTCGTTGTCGTCGTCGTAGTCGTTTGAATTGTCTTCGGTTAGATGCGAGAACTTCGAGGGGGCAAAGGCACTTGACGCCGTTAAAATCGCCACACACAGGGTTCTATTGTGTTCGTCATCGTGTCTATGTATGTGTATGTATGTGTGTGCAAAGATAGATAGATAGAACAAACATATGCAAGGAAGCTTAGAAGAACCATACTCGTATATAGATCCCTATCCGTGTTTGCATACATGTACATACAATACGTATTGAGAATATCAACACGATGAAAGGGGTAAGAAGAGAGGGTGAATGTGTGCATATATGGTGTATATAGAAGATTCAAGCGTGAGCGCGCGCATATACATACACACATGCTCAGACCTGTATCTGATAGTAGAACACGTTGGTATGTAGGAAATAACTGCACGTTCGAAAGCATCATGAAATTCGTAGCTAGCCCCTAGAAGATTCTCTAACAGCACGTGTGCTTGAAAAAGGGATGGACCTATCCAAGGGGAAAAAAAGAAGGAAAAACAGAGAAAAGAAGGGGTAGTGGTGGTGGTGGTGGTAAGATCGAATAAAACTTTTTCAACCCTCGCCTCGCGTGGTGGTATTTTCGTCGTGAAAATACTCTCGATCTTTCGACGTTAAAACGAGACCAAACGAAATACGGCGTTTCGTTTCGTACAGTTAAACGACGTTCCATCGACTGTCTTTTACTTTTATTCGATACGGCACATGTCCTATCAAATACTCTCTCTCTCTCTCTCTTCTCTTTTATTCTCAAACTTTCTGTCAGTCGACACATTGAGTTATTTCCCTTGGACGCGCGTCCGTATTTTCTATTAGAATGAACAAATTTGTTTCGTAATTTCTTGAAAATTCTGACGCGTTTTCTCGATACAATATTAAAACAAACAATACATTTTTTTAATTATGCTTACGTAATATACAAAAACGTTGAGGAATTAATTTTTTTCTAAAGTTGGTTTTCTCATTAGTTTATTTTTTTATTATCATTCGTATGAGTCTTTAAAATTTTTTTTTACAATCGTTTTGTAAACAGCTCGTTAATAAATAAATATGATTATTATTATTATTATTAGTAGTAGTAGTAGTAATAGGTAAATCGTCACGGTCATTCAAATCGCTAAAATAAAATTAGTATTGACTGTATAAAGATAGTATCATAAAGAAGATAGAGGAGCCATTTTTAACGTGGATTTATTTGCCATGCTAGATTTTACGATAATATGCATTTCTTTGAATACACTCCAAGCTCGTAAATGGCCGCGAATATGCGGTGGAAGAAGCCACGATAGCGAACCGTTTCGTCTTACTCGAATCGTACTACTTACTACTTGCAGTAGTAAAACTGACGATACAACCAGTCACACAGTGATGTAGTCCGATATCAATCAGACCTACAATGCAGTCTCCCTGTTTCTTTTTCTTTTCCTAACTTTCCTCGCATTTTTCGTACACGTTATTATTTTTTATTAATAAAAGAAACACTATAGAATGATATTTTTGTCAAATGGACAAAACAAAATGTTATCTAACACAAGTTGACGTATTTTTATTTATTTTTTTCTTCTTATCATAGAAAAAAAAAAAGGAAGATAGAAATAAAATGAATGTTGAAAGTGGAAAACATATTTTCCAACGGTTGATGCATTATCCGTAAGATGTCTGCGACAGATAGCATCGTGGGAAACGTCGATACCCTTTTTGCTAGAGCAAGTTCTTCACACCTTTTTTTACTCTTTCAATTCTCTCCCTTTTCTCTCTTCCTTTTTCTCTTTCTTCTTTTCTCTTTGGTTCTTCGTACTCCAACAACCCTTCCTCATTCTTCCCATTCCCCCTTTCTTTTACCCTTCCTCCTATTCCCATTTCGTCATCCTCGTCTACTCTTCGACTGCCTATCAGCCTTTTCCCGCCCGCTGAGAAAGCAGTTTCGCGACGATTTTCAGAACGACGGCCGCTCAAACCTTTCCTCTTTCTACCTCTTTCATCCAGTTTTCCAGGTGATTTTCGACGTTGTAATTTTCCTCATCCTTGGTACAACGAACAGAGCTCGAATATATCTACGA